GGTCCGGGACACTAACCGCGGTCGACTTCGTGGGAGTCCCGCGACATAGCCATTACACTAACTGCTGGTTCCCAAGGCAAGGCATTTTTACATTCTAGAATAAATGACCCCTGAATTTTTAAATTTTGTTATACATTTACAGTAGTTTGATGAAAATGAGCAATTAACATGTAGATTTTCATCTATTTGGATGGGGGGATCTTTTTTGGTCTTAAAATACACCAATGTGATGAGGGATATAGGTCTAGCAATGTTTCACACTGAGTCCACAGCAGTAAACACCTCTTCTCATCTGACAGCAGCAGGGTCAGAGTTCTAAGAGTGGTTTGGGGGTCAAGAGGACCAGCCTTTGGTATTCTCTGGGTGACTTTGCTCACCTAAGTAAGAATCCCAAGATTTAACGTTTTTACCTGTAAAATGAGAGAGGTGGTTGCTAAGAACAGTCCAGGAGTCAGCGCATCTATAAACAGAAACTGGAAAGGTATTCGAGACTGCAAATCTGTTCCACCATCTCTGGAGGCCCCTCTGACGCTGCCCTACAGGTGATAGACGGCAGGGTCAGCTTAGGGCAGGGCCTGACAGGTGGCCAAGCTGTTCAGTGTTAGGAAAGCGAGTCAAACATCAGCATTAGCCTGACCAAGAGCAAGGCCAGAAAAGGGGTGGGGACAGGAGGTGGACAGCCCCTTCTTCGCCAGCTCTGTCTCTCTGTCACTTCTCCAGTTATGATAGTTCCTTCCCTAGAGAGGATGAAAACCTACAAAGTGGAGGGAAATTTAAGTTCTTCCACATCACTGTTCCCTTCCTTGACCTCAACCCCCAAGGCAAACCAATCAGACAGACACAAATTTTCTGTGTGGCTTCTTAGAAGAAAGCAATAAATTATGAATCTAAACCTTAGGCCAATATTTAGCCCCCGTGTGACAAGTGGTGTGCTTTGTTGTCATTTCTGAGCAGTTTTTCATTATCAGGCAGTTTTTCTTCCCCAAGTGGGTAAAGGACTCCAGCTGGTAGAACCTGCCCAGTGTGCACAGGGAAGCTGTGAAGGAGACATGGGCTTCTGCAAGTGGAGCTTTCTCAACACTCCTGAGAAGGGGCTTTCAAAAATGAGACTGAGATCTGCAGAAAAAACAACATTTTGCACATGGCCCAATAACCATGCTTATGATTTTTTTTTAAAGCGTATTCATTTTATTAGTTATTTTTAAAGTTTGGTATAGGGCATGTGAACTCACCGGAGAGAGATACAGTGAGAGAGAGAGGAAGTGAAAAAGCAAGCCACCAGGTTTGGGACTTAAACTGCAGCTGACGATGTGGAAGTCTAGCACCTTAACGACCACACCACCTGCTGGCCCATCATTTCATTATTTTTTAAAGAGATTTTGCTATAGGGTACATGTGCTCACCGGAGAGACATTGAGAGACATAGAAAGAAAGAAGTCATCCCCAGGGTGAATGGCCACACCACAATCCCTTCTCCATTCTCCTCTAGAATTTCTGGGCACACACGCACATGTACCCTGCATGAGTTTTAAGCTGCCAGGTCCGGGACTCCAACTGTGGTCGGCCATATGCGGGATCAGCTCCTTAATCACTATGTCACTTGCTGGCCCTGACCCATGAGTTTTAGATTTATATATAGATTTAAAAGTATCACAACACAATACTTTACTATGAATCACATGCTGTAACAATTTTTATTCTATTAGTTTGTTTTCTATATTATTCTATTACCCACCTAGTTGGCCCACATTTACTAAACTGATTTCATGATTGTGACCCACAGTTTGAAAACCATTCTTAGAGGGCCTTGGAAGGCTGGTTGCAAGAGGTTTTCTTTCTTTCTTTCTTTTTTTTTTTTTAAGTATTATTATTTTAATTTGCCAGAGAGTGTGTGCATTTATGAGAGAGAAAAAAAAAGGAGAGGGAGAAAGCACCCACTATGGGATGAGAGTGGTTATGTTCCAATCTCTTCTCAGTTTCTCCCTCTTTTGGGATTCTGGGTATGCATGCATATGCACTCTGTGTGTTTTTCAAGCTGCTGGATCCGAGGTCTTGAACTATGTGGTTAGCTGTGTGGAATCTAGCTTCCTACAACAACAGGCCATGGGCCAGCCCTTAAATATTATTTTGAATTGACAAATACAATGTGACGTCTTGATATATGTGTAGAATGCGGAATGATTAAATCAGGCTAATTAGCAAATTTATTACCTCAGTTACCTACCATGCTTATGCGAGACACTTAAAATTTACTCATTACTATGAAACGCAAATTTTTATGGACTTGAAAGTTGCTCCTCCTGTCTGTCTGAAACTTTGTACACACTGACCAGCAGCTCCCCAGCTCCCTTTCTCCTCAGCCTCTGGTAGCCACTGTTCTACTCTTCACTTTTATGAGTTCAACTTCTCTATGTTTCTAATAACTGAGACTGTGCAGTATTTGTCTTTCTATGTCTTAGCATAATGTCCTCCAAGATTATTCATGCTATCACAAATGACTGGATTTCCTTCTTTCCGAAGGCTGAACAGTATCCCACATTTTCTTATCCATTCATCCATGCACGGCCACTTAGGTGGATTCCATGTCTCGAGTATTGTGAATAATGCTGCAATGAACATGGCAATGCAGATATTTCTGTGACATGTTGATTTCAACTCCTTTGGATACATACCCAGAAGTGGAACTGCTACTGAATCATATGGTGGTTCTATTTTTAGGTTTTTTTGGGACTCTCCTGCCATACTGTTTTCCATAACTGCTGTGCTAATTTACATTCCCTTAAACAATATATAAGAGTTCCCCTTTCTCCAAATCCTTGCCAAGACTTGTTATCACAAAAGCTCTTTTTAAAGTGTATAATACAGCAAACTTTGGGTAATTATAGATATACAAGATTTATCTATGCCCTTCTGAAAGAGGTGTGGTTAAATCAAAATAAGATAAATGAAGAAAACTAGTGAAATGATCAAACAGATCACCACCAAAGTCACTAGGGATTATGTCAATCTGTAAGATAATGTGGATAAGATTGGAAAGATCAGGATATTAGTTTATTGTTTACTGAGCAAATTTGAGAGAAGAAATGCTACAAATGAAAGACGGTGATTTAAAACAAACACTGAAAGTGATATATCAGATTAAAGTAGTATCTTTTTTCTTTTTAAAGAAAGATTTTTGCTATAGGGCACGTGCACTTGCTGGAGAGACAGAGAGACAGAAAGTGAGAAATCACCCCCCAAAGGGGGATGGCCACACTACAATCGCGTCTTCTCCAGTCTCCTCTTGGAATTTTGGTCATACGTGCACACGTGCCCAATGTGAGTTTCAAGCCTCTGGGTCCAGGACTTGAACCATGGTCAACCATGTGAGAGTCCAGCGACATAACCATCTGCTATCTGTTGGTCCCATAAAGTAGTAGTTTTTTTTTTTTTTTCTTAAAAACAAAACAAAACAAAAGAGTTATAGAGAAAACCATTCTACTTAGTAGAATAAAGTCAAAGGAGAAATAATTAAAAAACAAAGGTGATATACAGACTGAAAAGGGGATGTGAACCCAAACACTGAGGCATGTCGAAGTGACCAAGTTTCCATTCTGGCAGTTGGTGTGGTTTCTGTTGTGGTTACATCTTGAGAGACCCTTCGGCTGTGGGTTCCAGAGGGGAGGTGGGGTGGCACAGCTGTCAACCCATCCACAGACCCGGTGGTATTCGCAGCAGTCAGTATCAGAGCTACCCATTTGCAAAGTGCAATTCTATTGCCATACCTCAATGCTAGCTCATTCTGTAAGATACAGTTCCCCTGCAGCCCACTGAGAAAAGATAGTAAGGGATCTGGTGATTTCCACTGGGATGAGGTAGGAGAACATGTCAGCCAGAGTTGCCAAGGGTGATAAGGATATTTTAGTTTTTGTGCACAAGTTTCACACTCAAGACAGAAACTGGTTTTGACTCCCCATGTTGGGTAGCTGGACTGTCAAGGCCACAGGCTACTAAACCACCCAGAGCAAAGGACCGAGCCCATCCACACAGTGTCCTGAGAGCAGCAGATCAGCAGCAACCTCAAAGCCCCAGGGCAAGTATGATGGGCAAGGGGGTGCAGAGTCCCAGTACCCCACACAGAACAAGAGTCTGGAAGGAGGGTACTATTCGAACTCCTCCCTTTACCACTGCTCACCAAGCCACGTGTGAGCACAGCAGCAGGGGACCTTTTTACTGGAGAAGGGTAACCTGAGAGACACAGCTGGGAGTGGGCACATTTTTTTGGGGGGGGGGGAGAAGAATTTTCTAGAAAAAGAAAGAGTGGTTCAAACCCTAGCCTGGTATTGCCTGTCTGGACTTTTGTAGAGGAGACCGCAGAGAAGCGCAAACTTGTTGTTTCTCCATCTGTTCAGGATTATGCCATTACTTCTCTTCAGGTGTTCTGCATGCAGTATGGACTGGTAAAAGTCCTTGCAGAGGATCACTCTTGATTTCCTCTTGACAAGAGCCAGGTGGGAAGCAGCCTCATGTGGTTCCACGAGGATGGGCTCCCATGGTACACCCAGTGTTAAGGTGTGACAGGAGTCAAATACTTGTGTGGGAAAGTGCTTATTCTGATGTAGGCCTTCCTACAGGATCCTGAGAGAAGCAAAGGACTCCGGTACAGGGGAAAGGTGATATGATTTGCTCAGACCAAGCTCCACTAAAAAAATGTCGTTTGTGTCACATCTTTTATGAGTTGTCTCTTTCCAAAACTTCCCTAGAAAATCGCATGCATTGACCAGGCTTCACAATAATAAAGGAAAGAAGTTTCAGCTGGAAGAATCGTTTACCTAGCCCTAGAGGTTGCTGTAATACCTTGGGTACTTAACAGATACAAGTAAGTCACTGGAGGGTCACTGTACTCTTGCAGACAGAGGCCAAGAGCCTTCTAAAGCCTGCTCTGCTTTGCACAGGCAATCTTTTACAGGTTAGCAAAATCATGGGAGACCCAGCTATTTGGAAGCATAGCAGAAACTTACTTTGCAGTAGTTTCTTCATCATATTTGGTTTTCAGGTCAAATAATTCTGTTCGAGTTTTTTCCAGGGCTGAAAGGCAGAGGACATAAAACCATGATATAAGATACTAATTGTTTAAATTTTAAAGAAAGTAAATGTATATAATATATTCTCATTTTACAAGAGGGAAAGATGACAAAAACATAAAGAGCAGAATAGAAAATCTCCTTTCATCTTTTCCTCATCTCATTCCAAGCTGTTAACAATCTAATGTGCAGATTTCAAGCTTTGAAATATATTACAGTATTTAAAAAAATTTCCATGTGTACACACACACACACACACACACACTCACAGGGAGGGAGGGTCTTCAAAAAGTTCCCATTATGAAAAAGTTATGCATGGCTCTCAAAAATTTGTCAAAATAAACCTGCACTTCAGTTTAAATGAACTTTCTGAAGTACCCTCATGTTTACACAGTTTTCGTCCTTTCCGCAAAGGGGATGATACAGATATTTTCTTAGACTTGCCTTTCTCGCTCAGCAGTATAGCATGGGAATCTCTCCATGTCTGGGCATTGACAACTCACCTATCAGGATTCTCAGAGATGAAGCTGCTGGGTAAAGAGCTCAGATGTCCGAAGTTTACATAAATACCACCCAGCTGGCCTCCTAAGAGGCAATTTATATTCTCATTCACACCATGTGTGTGACTTTTTCTTTTTAAAACATTTTTGCTAGGGAGTACTTGCTGGAGAGCGACAAAGAAAGTGATAGAGCACCCAATATAGGGGTAGTCATGCCGTATCCCTTCACCTTTTCTCTTTTTGGGATTTTGGGCATGCATGTACATGTGCCCAGTGTGATGATTTTCCTATGCCTGTATCAACACTGGGTATTTTGAATTTAAGACATTTTTGTAATTAGACAAAATGACCTCCCACTGATATAATCTGTATCTCCCTGACTTGTCAGTATTTTTCATGTGTATTAACCGTTTGTGTTTCTGCTGTGACCTGCTTATTTGTAACTTTTGCTTATGGTGTTAATGGCCCATTTCTCTATTCTGTATGGATTTGTAAGCAGCTTTATACTTTATGGATATTATTAATTTGTCTATTAAATCTGTTGTGATTAATTTATCCCACTCTGCATTTTAACTTAAAATTCTGGTGTCTTCCAACGATTTTTCCGCATTTGAATTAAACATACAGTACTGCTTCCTTTTCAGAGAAACAACAAAAAAAGAACAGAAGTTTAAAGAAACTATAAAAATTTTAGCATAACCTTTTTTGGTATTTTTTAAATCTTAAAGGTCTGCTATTACTGTTCTTCTTAACTTCACTTAGGGGAGAAATAAGTTTTTCTTTTCTATTATTGTTCCAAATGAAATGTCAGTCCTTGACAGTTTGGTGATTTAGACGTGTTTGCTGGAAAAAGAGCAGGAAGAAAGGATGGCTTGTGGAAGGGATGAAAATGGAATTCAGATCCTCCCACCTCCACATTAACAACTCAAAGTCAGTGACTAATGATGGAGAGCAGCCAGGGGGCTCTCTGAGGAGCTCCGGAGCAGCGTGGGCTCACTTCAGCTCCTACAGGCTCCCAAGAGCCACAGGTATCAAGGAGATCTGGACTGTCCTGAGACTGGCCACACTTTCCCACCTCCGCCTTCCCTGGATCAACTGGACTAGGGTGAAGAATATCAAACCTGTTTGCAGGGTCTGAACTTTATGTTCTGCTTCCTCCAGCTTCGAGGTGGTGGACATCTGTGTCTCTTGCAGCTTTCTGAAAGAAAGAGAATGAAGCCAAATTGGTCATCTTGTTTACTAACTTACATGAACTGTGTTTCTTTGAGCTGCCAATCAGCCCTCTTCGCTGTCAGGCACAGCTGGCAGCAGGCACAGAATTGACTGTCGCTGGCAATGCCACGTGGACTGTGGGGACACGTGGACTGTGGGGACTGCTCACGAATCTTTCACACCCCAACTCTGTAACCACCTATTACATAATGTGAAGTGTGCACCCACAGAATCTGACACGTGTGGCAACTGGTGTGGAAGGTTATCCTAAATGTAACTTGTTCTTGAAATGCCAGATACTACAGAAACAAAAACAAAACATTTATCATCATCATGCACTCATTGTTTCCTGAAGTTAGCCCAAGAAGAATGATACATCTACATTCTGCTGACACAATGAAGGAATCTGTTGGAATAAAGGATGTACTAAATAGATGTGACAGCTGTTCCAACTCTGTTATAATGGAATGCTAATGCAACTGCAGCACCTAATGGGGAAATTCGGAATGCTTTCAACTGCATTCCACACATTTATATTTCCCATGATCTCCAAATGAATTCCCTGGTCAATAAATAGCATCCTTACTCTTAATCTGCAGAAAATCTCTAAAAATAAGTTTATTATTTTTACATCATATGAATATAACATATGCTCTCATAATAATAAACCTGGGAATACAGAAAAGTAGAAATGACAGTTAAAAAAAAAATCACTCCCATTCCCATCAGCCACAGAAAAGCATTGCTAATATTTTCCTCTATTCTAATTATAAAACTAATATATGTTCAGAGTTTAAAGAAATCAAATATTACAAAAGCATGGAAAGTAGAATGTCCTCTCTTCCTTGGCCCCAATTCTACTCCTCAGGTAGAGTTCTTTTATATCTTTTTAAAGAGTATTTCTGCATCTACAGAAACACAATGCAATATGTAACATGCTACAGTGAAATGTAATATGTAATGTACAACAATGAAACAAAAATTAATATGTAATATACTACAGTGTAATAAAAACTAACATGTAATAAACTATAGTGAAACATAAACTCTCCCTTGCTTTTTTTTTAATACAAAGGGGATCACAAACACATACTGTATTATTCTGCACCTTGCTTTTTAACTTATCTCCATGTTTTGACAATGTTCTACTCCAATATATACAGTTCTTCTTCATCCTTACTAAAGGATTAACTAAACCTCTATGGATACTTAGATTGTTAACAGTTTCTTTTTACTAGAGATTTCTTCGGTGACCATTATGTATATACTGTTGTATAGTTTTAAAAAAGTTAATTTCCTCAGAGAGAGAGAGAGAATGACAAAAAAGATAGACACAGAGAAAAAGAGAAGACAGACAGAGGGGCACACCCAACAGTGCCATGCATCCATGCAGTGATCCACCCCCAGCCTCAGCCAGCCCAGATCTCTAGCACATACAATGTATGCTCGACTTACACAAGGAAGCACTGGAATAAGAATCTAAGACCTTCCCTTGTTGATTCAGCATCCTGGAATCCTGCGTTACTGCTGTACCACAGAGGCTAGCCACGATTTTATGTTAATCGGCTGAATAAAATTCTACTGAAGGAATTACAATGGCCAAAGGGTATGTACAATTCTTTCTTTGTTTTGATAGATACTGAGAAGCTTCCCAACAAGAAAACATCATCAACTAAACTCTCACCAACGATATGTAAGAGTGCTTTCGTAAACACAGCCAACACTGGATAAAATCAAAGTATTTTTAGATAAGTATTTTTTCTTTGTGTAAAATGTTTATATCTTTTGTCCATTTTTGTAGTCAGTTTTTTCTTATTAATTGGTAATCTCTTTGTATATAAAGAAAATTAGCCTTTTGTGTCATGTTGTGCAAATATTTCTTCCACTTGATACTTTCAAAGTTCTGTTTGATGTTATTGTTCTTAAAAATGCATTTTAAATTTTAGTCATATTTATATAACTTTTCTTGTATGCTTACAAACATCTCAACACTCCAAAATTATTTAAAACCAAGATATTGGTGCCCAAGTTTTCTTTCACTATGTATGTAATTTAATTATTAATATTTAATTTCTATATCCATCTCCATATTTTGTTGTAAAGAATGAGGTAAAGATCTAGCTTTATCTCCCCTTAATAGTTATTTTTATCTTTTAATATAATTAATCTTTTTAACTAATTTGAAAAGTCAACTTAATAATATTCAATTCCTTTAGGAATTTACTTCTACACTTTTGTAATGCGTGAGTTTGCTGTAGGCAGATATAATCACACTGCATGTAATTTTGTATTATGCTTTTTCTTCTTCATATCATGCTGGATACATTTCTCAAGTTACTGTGAACTACTATTTTAATGGCTGTATAGTGTCCCAGTTAGGGATGGCCCATCTTTTACTTAACTGTTCTTGTTGGAGGGGCATTTAAACAGGGTTGGGGAGGGAAATGTAGGCAATCACACAGTGGGGAAAATGGGGAATCTTTCTGGTAATGAAGTGCCTTTCCAACAGGCATCCATTTAGAGCAGATTCCATGTGGATGGGATCGAGCATCCACCCTAACTCTGTCTCACTCACATTTTGAGGGGCAGTACCCTGCTACACTCTCTTGGCAGAGTGGAGATGCAGCCTTCTCTTGAAAAGTTGTGACCACACTGGTTTTTCCTAATGTGAAAACTTAATGACAGTTAGACATCTTGTAAAAGAAAAAATGTAAGAATGACTGAGCTCACCAATTCCAACTGGCCTTGGTCCCACAGTGAGGACTTCAGGTGGTCACAGTTAAGTGGAAAGAGAGGACAGGGATGCAGTGGTAGGGCAGCCATAATCTGGAGTTGTGCAGTCCCACCTCTGGCCCTGATTAAGTGTGAAGGCTCTAGCAGGTACCTAACCTGTGGCCTGGTTTCACCTGGGATGGTCTCTATTGCAGATCTGTCTTGGATGCTCAGTGAGAGGATACAGTGAGTGCCTGGTAGAAGAATTCTGAGGCAGAGCGAGCACTGACATTTTTCTTCTGTTTAAATGGAGCCAGGCTCGTAGTATTCTAGAGGGGCCTTCATGAGATATCTGAGATCCTTATGGAGCCCATCTGGTACGAGTCAAGTGAAGTGACATAACGAAACCCAGCCCCTTCTTTAATCATACATTTAGTACCTCCCACTGAAGGATACACACATTTCTTTATGCTTGGGTCAAATTTAATACCTTAATTTAACCAAAGAATTTTTAAAAATCTGACATACAGTTGGAATTGGTAAGCTCAACTCATCCTTACAGTTTTTATAAGAAATCTGTCAAATCACCCAAGCGAAAAACAAACTCAGTATTTGTGGGAAAAGGCTTGGATAAAGTAAGTCAAGAGAAATCTAAAATTCTCAATGGTTAGACAGTATATTAACATACTTTTATGGATACCAACTCCTTGATATCTGGAGTACTGAGAAAAGAAGCAAAACAAAACTAAAAAACAAGAGTGTGTTATCAGATGTTAAATATAAAAATTCATTTAAGAAGACAGGGTTTGGCTGCAGCTGCAGTGGCATGTGCTGCTCAGATGCTGTGCTCTGTGGGGTGGGACCACACGGGAAGTCCAGGTTTGATTTTGGTCCAACCTAAAGGCCAGGTGCAGGGTACATGCCTATCATGCCAGCAACTCAAGAGGATGAGGCACAACGATTGAGAGTTTGAGGCTGACCTGGGTGATATAGTGAGACCCTGTTTGAAAAAGAAACCCAGTACAGTGGTACATGGCTGTAGTCCTACCTAGGAGGCTAGGACAGGAGGTTTATGATATGGTAAGACTGTCTTTAAAAATTGGGTCAGAGAACCAGCAGCTAGCGTAGTGGCTATGTCGCTGGATTCCCACGTAGTCAACCGTGGTTCGCGTCCCGGACCCGGTGGCTTAGAACTCACGCCGGGCGCATGTGCGTGCGTGCCCAAGATCCCAAGAAGAGAATGGAGGAGAAGGGATTGCGGTGTGACCATCCCCCCTGCAGGGTGATTTCTCGCTTTCTGTCTCTATGTCTCTCTCTGTCTGTTTGGCGAGTGCATGCGCCCTATAGCAAAAACCTCTCAAAAAAAAAAAAAAAAAGTCAGAAAGAGTTTGGCATGCATTCGGAGCTTTTCGAAGAGGACATTCATTGGGAGATGGCCCTTCCTCGCCTCTCCACTCAGGTGTAGCTGCTAGCTACCAACCTGTTAACTGCCAAAGTCTTGCACTCAACTTCTGCACCCAATGGGCTTCAACAGAGACCCATTTGCCCACAGACTGCCTGATACCACCCAGAAAAATATAGGCCACGTTAGTAAAAATAAAGAATAAAGGGATACTATTTTTCTTTAAGAATGATTTATTTCATTTTATTTATTATTATTATATTTTAATTTGCTATAGAGCACGGGTGCTTACCAGACACACACACACACAAGGAAAGTGAGAAAGCAAGCTGCCAGGTCTGGGACTCAAACCAAGGTCAGCTATGTGGGAGTTCAGTGCCTTAAGCACCATGCCGCCTACTAGAAGCAACAGAAACCATTTTTCAAACAAAATTTTGCCTAGACCACTGAGGATTTCTATTCACAACCTGGGCTTATTTCCCAACTGCATTTCTAAAATGTCTAGAATATGAAACTTAAGAGGCAAAACATGGTGTTGTGACAGCATGTGTGCACCTGGACACATACTCACCTTTCCTTCTCTGCAAAATCATTTTGTAGCTTCTGTTCCTTTTCAAGAGCGATCGTCTCAGCTTGATTCTTCAGAGTCTGTTCATATTCTCGGATTTTCTCTTTAAGTGCTTTTATCGTAACCTCTGTAGAAAGAAAGAAAGAAAAAAAAAAAGAAACTCTAGTAAGAGGAGCACAAGTCCACGCAGCTGTATATACAAGGCTTTTGGAACCTAGTAGGATCAGTGTGTTTTAAACTTTAGCTCTTCAACTCTGACACAAAATCAATGGTTACGAGTCCCTTTGGAGACCTTTTACTCCCTAAATGTTAAATTGAACTTTAAACGTTTAGGTTGAGGAGGATCAATGGATTCTGCTGGGAAGAAGAGCTATGGTTTCTCTAGCACAACTCAAAGAAAAAAAGAGGGGAAAATCAATGGTAAAATATAATATCATCTTATTGATGAGTCTTAAATTAGTCTTCCACTAAGGGCAGATTAATAAAGTTTTAGTGTGGACTTAAGGACTTTCTTATAAAGAAAATAGTTCACAATGGTGTGCACTTTTTAGAAGAGGCAGTCTGGGTGAGGTCAGGGAAGTCGGCAGACCTTCCTGGCCAGGGGCTGCGGCTTTGTGGTTTCACAAGTGACAGCACATGTGAGGTGCTAAGTGCATAAAGCATGCGTCTCTCAGCTGAAGGGATCTACCCTGGAGCTGGGGTGTGCGAGTGCTGAGATCTCAGTGGATATATGTGAGCCCAGCAGGCAACGCAGGGCCAGGAGGAAGATGCTTGGTGACTGGTTGGTGGCCTGGAAGTGTCCTGGAGCCAAGCCTGTGAGCCAGTAGTGAGGCAGTAGCACTGGGCTATAATTGAGCCCTGCAGTGCTCAGAGCTCCACAGCAAAGGGCCTCTCAGGAGGCAGGGCCGTCCTTGAAAAGCTCAGGCCCAGACAGCTCTTGGGAGTGGCACCTCACCACCAACTACATGTTTACAGCCTTCACCGAATTGCCCCACTGGAAACATTAAAGTGGACAAAGTAAACGGAGCAGGGTCCTTACTCATACCTACAGTTGGCTCTAGGGCAGGATAGCTCCATGAGCACCCACTAGAAACACCCTCATAACACTGCAAACCAGTGATCGGTGGCCTTAGCCCTAAGGAGAGTGGAGCTCTTGAGGAATGCTGCATCAAGATCCATCTCCTAGAAGGCAAGGCTGGAATTCTTTGTGTTTCTGGCCCCTGACACAGATGGATGCTCAGGAAAGGGCTGGGGCAAAAATGAAGAAGCTGAGACCAGCAGACCAGGGTGAGGCTCACAGGGCTTGTGGCCACAAGGCTCTAGCTCATGGGATAATACCATCTGCCAGGTGTGTAACTCACATCCATTCTTTCTCCCTGAGCTGCACAGACACAGGCTGGTCCTGTGAGGAGCCTATCAACTGGGCATTGATACCCACGTGACTTAGTAGAAGTCTTTACTTTTTTATTTATTTATTGATTACTATTATTATTTTAATTTACCAGAGAGAGACAGAGAGAGGGAAAATGAGAAAGCAAGCTGCCAGGTCTGTGACTGGAACCATGGTCAGTCATGTGGGAGTCTAGTGCCTTACCACCACACCACCTGCAGGCCCCTAGCCTTTTTCTTTAGGTGCAATACAGAAAGTTAGTAAAGAGCGAGAGATGGAAGTAAAAACCAAAGACCCTGTCAGGACATTTGAAAGAAGAATGTGGGCCTCTGTCTTTGGGGTTGGTTGCCTGGGGCCTGGAGGAAGCACTGTGAGCATAATGACTGGTGATGTATTCCTTTCAAGTCCCCTGACAGGACCAGAGTCAGGCAAGGCAGGACACTCCGCAGTGGACACCAGACAGGTCAACTCTGCAAATGCAGCATCGTTCTTTAGGCTAATGCTCTATTTGACTCTGTAAACTCACGGCATTTCTGCCTTGAACTACTGGATGGAAACATCTGGACGGTGCCTAGACCCCAATGAGCATTCCAATGGGGCTACTCAGTGTGACATACCCCAGAGAGCTGGGTGCTCCTGCTCTGATGAGGTCCCTTTCCCACCCCCACCCTGGTTGGCTGCTCACTGACCAGTCAAGCTTAAACCAGAGGGCAATTCTCCTGGAACAACTGGCCCTGCTCCGGTGCCCAGGCCAATATCTGGGGTATTTCCTGGTTATCTCAGCAGGCCCCTAGACATGTGGAGGTGAGGGAGGAATGGCTGGCTGAAAGGACATTGAGCGCCTACACTTATAAGCCCTGCCTGGGACCTCAATTTGCTCATCTATATTGCCGGGGATGGGGATTATGGCACATGACACAGATATGATACAGAGATTCCTTTCTTGTAACTTTAAAACCATCTGCACTACCGCTGTGATGATGAAAACAAGAGATGTACATCCCCCACTCTTCCAAATCATGGAAGAGGATAAAAAGAAATGATGTTTTTCTGGAGGTTAGGAAAAATCTATTATCAATACTTAAAAAGGGAAACATTTCTGGCAAAAACCAGCATGCTCAGTGAGCACCCCTGGAAGTAATTGGGTGCTAAGTGCTTTGCATACATATTCTCATTTGATCTACCACAATCCTATAGTAGTAGAACGGCCTTTCAACAAACTGAGGTAACTTGCCCAAAGTCACATAGCTAGGCAGTGGCAATGGGGACTCAAAGAGGTCTGCTTGCCTCTGGAGTCTTGGTTTTAAGTCTTGGACTAGATATGAGAGGACTTCAAAAAGTTCACAAAAAAAGGGATGAAAGTACACTTTTATTTTGATGCAAATTAAAAAAAAATCCATGTATCATTTTAAAAATAATGCATATTTTCCATGAACTTTCTGAAGATCCTACATATTTAAATTTAAAAGCCCATCTGATGAGGTCTTAGGAGAGACACTGCCCCACATTTGGTCATAGCTCCTGCCCAACCACAGTGAGAATCCCCGACAGCTGGCAGTTACTGAGGTACATGGGGATGCAAGCTGAAGGGAAAGATCCTGTCCCATCCTTGAACACAATGAAAACAAACAAAATTAAAAAACAACAACAACAACAATAACAACAACAACAACAACAAACGTGGGCCAGTCCTATAGCCTAGTGGCTAAGGGAGCAGGATCACATATGGCCAATTGCACTTTGAACCACAGCCCTGAAGGCTTGAAGCCCATGTATCCCCCAAATTTCAAAAAGATAGAAAAACGAAAGAGAAGGGATTGCAGTATGACCATGGACCACACAGACCTCACACCTGGGGGACAGAGGCGGGGGGGGGGGGGGGGCCCCCCCCCCCCCAACACACACACATACAACCTGTGACAATTTAAAAAAAGAGAAAAAAATGAAATGACTGAGGTCGGTCATGGAAGGAGAAGGAGAAAAGCGGGGGGTGGACTCCTTTTGGGTAGTGTTCCTGTGAAAATCAGATGTGCGTATTTATAGGTCATCTTCCACCTGACCACTGGGGTAATATTGACCCAAACAATTCTCTCCACGGGGCAGGCAGTGCCTGCTGTCTGAGAGATCCTGGCTTAATAAGCCCAACAGTCACTTTCACAGGAGACAAAACTATTCCTTTCAATCCCAAAGGCCAGATAGAGGTGGGGTCTGGGAATTTCCAGTCCCCCCAGTTTCCTGTCATCTTTGTGCCCCCTCACTCCAGCAAGCAGGCCTTGCTGGCCTGAGGGCTAGGCATACCAAACCTCTGGGGAGACAGGCTCAGAGACTGCTGCCCTCACAGCCCAGACCTGGACCTTTTGGCTCTATCCACATCATCCCAGTCTCTTTCCAGGTCCTTTCCATGGACGGCTGCTTCCCCCGAGGTCTGTTTCTAATGTTCCTAAAGCCAAAGGTGGCTTTCCAAAATCCTTACCAGGTAAGTTTTTATCAAGCCCGCAAGGTATTGACTAGAGGGTCACTGGGGGAGTTGGCTGAGCAGGCCAGGCCACCCCTCCTTTCCATTCAGCTCCTTAGTCACATGCCCAAACACACACGGCCCACCTTCTGACTCAGAGCTGGCTGGAAAAGGTGCAGCTGCTGTCAGATGGCTTGTGATTCTTCTTTAAGAGAAGGGAGCCAGGAGGCCCCGGGATCCTGAATACAACTGGATTATAGGTATAGGAGAGGTTTCTTTGTTCTTCCCTGGCAGGAAAAGCCAGGTAACCTTTGTACTCTGTCTTGTTGACGGCTGGACAACCACACCAAAAGGTTGTTTTCTTTCATTAAATTCATGATGAACAGGCAATGCTGACAAGGTAACAGCAAGTACTTAAGCATGCAGCCTTTAAGGATGTGTCTGAAGCCTTAATGTATCGGCAGCAATTATTAAATGACTTACTGTGTGTGACCCTTTGATCATAAGCTGTCTGTCTGACAGGTGTCGCCTGGAGGCAAGGCACCAGTCAAAGACAGATCCTATCACATGATGATACAGGAAGAATTAAAAAAAAAAAAAAAATCCTGATCAGTCCCGTCCGAAGGCAATAAAATTGTTGTAGTTATTGTACAGAGGAAAAGTTTTATTCCTAAATAGCCAAGCATGATTATTATCATCTCTCCTTAACGTTTCTGATTCTTGCCTCACCCGGACTTCATGACGTGTATTCCAATTACAGCTAGTCCTAACAGTGTAGG